ACAATTTATACGTAGGAGCGGAAGCCAGTTCAATACTTGACCTTGCTTGCTGATAACTGAAGGATGCAAATAAGGTTCTAGCAAGCCCTGCCAAGCACTCTAAGCTAATCTCCGCATTTCACGTCAAATGCAACTGGGCCAAACCTGCGGAAGGGGGTCCTAGATTCATCATTCTGAGGCCGAAGGAGCATGGTAGCAAGCCACGTGGTTCCCCATGCGTGCGGAAGCATAGATTCTAGAAGCGGAGTGCAAAGCCTTTCGCTGGGACAACTTGGGATATCGGACTTTAGTAGTCACCCGCCTCCGTGGTGATCATCATGGTTGACCGGAAAGGATTCATCTATTTCCCGGTGGACTGATAGACAGATGTAACATCGGAACAGTTGGCAAATACTCGCCATGTCAGCAATCCATGTATCAGCCAGGTAATGCTTCGACCAGGTTCAGTTGCGCAGGATGTGAGTGCCGCCTCATCACCGGTCTCCGGAATGTCATTATAGCCCGATTGAAAGGGGTATCGATAATGAAGTCGTCACAAACCCACCGTAAGCACCCAATAGATGCATCCCAAAGTCCTTCGAGCCGTCCGAGTCATAAATAGACAGTAAGCGCTAGCCTGGCAGGATGCCTATCAATCATTGAATCATTTTATTACACTTGTCAACAGGCAGAGCATGCAGGAAGGCATCTCCAGGCGAGCATTGGGGATTCAAATGATCCAAAGTATGCGTAGTGAGGAGGCAGCCTTCAAAATCCCTGCCCGTAGTGATCAAAAAACTTTAGTTACTTCCATCCGCGATGGTACCCTGTAAATATCATCTGTGTGAGAATGTATAAGTCTGGGCATTCCAACAAAATTGTTGTGGAGCCTGCAATCACGCTGGCAAAACAATATACAGCATATAATATGTGCAATCGCATAGGGAAAATGAAACATATGAATGACGGCGAAAGGAAACCTCGCGGAGGAATAAGAGGCAAGATGGAAATGGAGACTAGGGGCCGAGGCAGAGTTAGATTTAGAATGTTCCAATTCTATATCAAACAGAGACCCAGGCCCATTTGAATCATTGCTCGACTTTTTATCAATTTTTCTGGTGTCTGTGCACAACAATTAGCCATGTCATATGAAGCCAGTTAGACGTTGGTTGGACCTAGAATTCTGAGTTAGGATAGGAGATCAACAGCCAGCCGAACGGATTTACAACATCAGCGCCCTTAGGTTTAGTGTCTATCGCCTCTTGGGCTGATTCGGGGTTTTTCCTATAGGCACAAAGTAGGAGTTTCTTTTCCGCTGGCTTCGTACCATCAAACCCACGCGTATATATAGACAAAGAGAAAGAAAACAAAACATAGATATAGAAAATAATTCAAAATATAGTTCCAAGATCAATGCAATATAATAAAGGTTAGAATATATCATTCGTCGTCACACCACCGTTCCTATTAGGCCAGGTAGCTGCTCTCATAAGTCATACCGTCTCAATCTGCTCATCCTGGGTGCCCTTCTTCTTCAAATCACCCCCATCGTCCGAAGGAATAACATACGTCGCCCACTCGCGAACAGGAACCCTATCCTGGAAGAGCCTCTCGATATCTGCATTACTCCGCCCTGCAGTCTCACCAACGCAGAACCACGAGTACGCCAGCAAGAACAGCGATGTCCCTCCGTATACGAATCCAATCATCGGGCCTAGGTTCGCCGTATAGTACATATAGGGGCTGGTGAAGACCATGAGCCAGACGGTGACGAAGAACACGCCCATAGCGCACGAGGTGATCTTGTTTCTGTTCCGGCCGACGGACATTTCCGAGGCGATGGAGTAGGAGAGGGTTCCGATGGAAAAATTGTAGAAGATGATGTTGACGTATGCCAGGACAACGATGCCAATGCCAATGCCACGGCTGAGCGTGCCATCAGCGGCCTTGGTAGTTCCCAGACCGCCAACGGTGAGTAGTGAGATGAACATCCCGCAGGAGCACACGAGGAGGTTCGTACGACGCTTGATCCGGTTCCCAAGGACGACGGAGACACCGACCGTGATGATCTGCAGGACGTAAATGATTGTGTTGATAGTGAAGGGGTCCGCCACACCGATAGACTGTGCGAAGACGACGCCGTAGGTGTACCAAAACTGGATACCATTGATTTGTTGGACGAACATGACACCACAGGCGTAGAAAAGCTTGCGGCGCTCGACAGGATCGGTAATGAGGGAGGCCCAGGTGGCGTCCTTGGCCATTTCCTGTTCTTGTTGGACTGCGTCCTCGATGGCTTGGATATCCGCGGACGGGTCGTAGTCCGGCATGCTGCGGTTAATCTTGTGGAGGGATTTGATCGCTTGCTCACGCTTGCCCTTGGACATGTACCAGACTGGGCTTTCCGGGGTGAATGGGAGGCAAAGGAGCATGATGCCGGGGAGCACGACGAGGAGGCACATGGGGATGCGGTAGGACTGGGAGCTTTGGATGCCTTGTGTGCCTTGGTTGACGCAGGCTCCGACTAGTTGAGAGATGGACTGCATGAATTGAAAAGACATGAGAGCTGGGCCTCTGATAGCGGACGGTGCCACCTCTCCAATGTAGATTAGGCAGGTGGCAGTGAACTGCCCGACACCGAGACCGATCAGGACACGGCTGACGTAGAAGACCGGGTGCGAGCCAAATGAGCAGGCTTGCACGACGGCTCCGACAACGATACAGATCGAGGCAGATAGGAACACGGCACGGCGACCGAAAAAGTCATTGATGGGGGCGGCGGCAAGTGCACCGGCGAGTTCTCCCACATAGATGATACTAGCAGACAAGGACAGGAACGTTGTTCCGAGCGAGAAGGAGCCATCTGAGCCTTCCTCCCCGTAGTCCTTAGCGAACCATGTCATACCCTGAACACCGGTATAGTAGATTGTATCATATCCATAGCAAAGGGCACCAATGGCAGCCACCAGACAGAAGGCGATGGCCCGTCGATTCGACTTCCAGTCGATGTTGAGTTGAAGGCCTGCCATGTTCGGCAAGACCAGAATGTACTGTAGAGTCGGGAGGCCTGGGACGAAGAGAGCTCGACAGTAGAGCCAAGAGATATACAGGCCAGCAATGATTAGCAGCAATGATCGGGGCTCAGGTGGCACCCTTTATACCTCCTCTCGCTGGGGTGAAAAGTTTAACATGGCCGGGGTAAACCTCCACGGGGTTCGCAAACACACATCCTGCGTCAAGGCGTTGGAGAGCATCCCCAAATTCCCCCACTTCGCACGACTTCGGGGCTCTTAGCTCCAGTCGATGTATAGGCCAAGACATCCTGGATTGCTCTTTTCATGGAGACCTAAGTGCAACCCACATGCCGATCTTTCCTATCATGGGATGATTGAAGACCCCCACCCCGTGGATCGGGCAGGATTCCCGAATTTCACGAACGTAGGCCCATTTTTTCCAAAGAGCAACTGGGAAATAGTCATCCAACAAGCGGAGTACAAGACACCGGGCCGGCACAGCAGCAGGGTTGAGAGTCCCGAGTGACTACGCCAAGCCATGCCCAGTACCGGACGGGATTCCGCCGAGCACGGCAAACCGTATAAATGAAAGTGATTCTCCAGCCGAACGGCGGATCAAGACTAGGAAAAGCTTCTTCCTCATCTGATAGAGCAGGGTACTTGGAATACTGTCGGTATGTCGTCTCAGCTTCGTTGAGACTTGGGGAGATGCGTATCTCCCTTTACAAACCCAAGCCTGTCCCAAACTTCAGTCCCCGCTGCCAAGAGTGGGCACAGTGAGCGCGCTCAGGGCTCATTTGCCGGTCCTCCCAGGTTTCTCCGATAATGACCCGGGGGGCGAATATCTCTGGCACGTATCTCCTGGCCCACCCAGCCTGGGCACCCCGTAAATTCACACCTCCAGGTTCACCACCCAGATGTGATCCATTTGTCGCAGCCATGACTCGTGGGGGTGCTCGTGTACTACTCCGGAGAGGGCAAAAATCTCTTCTTGGCGACCAGAGTATGAGTCTGATCCTCTCCTTAAATAGTCGTTGTAAACCACTCGGTGTGTCCCAGAGCCTGTCCAGAGCGAACTCGCTCAGGCTTCGGCGCGAATGCTTTCAGATATAACTTTCTAAAAATCAGAGCACACATCTCTCAAGTGCTGCAGGACCCAAAGAACTCTGTGAACCGTGAAGTGGGTCCTGAAAGCAGAACCGGAGGTCAATCTCGCCCAGCTTATGGGTTTATAACATCGCGTCTAGCCCGCACCAGGACATCCTCAGTATTGCCCACGGTTCGACCGCTGGGCAGCGAATACAGGTCGATGGGTTGTACATGCTCAAGCTGCAGCGCCTCGCCTGTTGCTTTGTCTTGCATATGAATCGCGAGTACTTCAGAATGCAGCAATTAAGAGTCTCGAAGGCGCCCCCGGATTGATACATCCCAGTGGATTGACAACATAATAAATCTAAGCAAGTGCCCTCTTCTGTTTGTACAGGACCCAACAGCTCAAGAGCATAGCAGAAGTTGGCCGTCACCCCCCAGCGTGTTGTTTTGGTAGTTGCCCAGACGTTCATTTTAATACTTTCTATGATCCGCCAGTGTCTATTGGAATCGCTGACCCATCGGCTAAAGAAGCCATATTTACACTTGGCCCCGGTGTATCCGCGGAGCCCGTTCTCCAGCCGACGCCTCCAAGCGCAGAAGGCCTAAACTCACTGAGTCTAGTAAGAAGCCATGAGCAGCCAAATTGTGTAACGAGGAAAGTGGTAGACGGACCCTCACCCGTCCTCAGTAGTTATAAATCTACGCATACTGGAGATAACGAAAGAAAGTCAGTGCGTCTTTTGTGGTTGCTAAAAGTTGGGCGACCGAGAAGATATAGGAGGCGCCGAATCGTTATGATATCAGGGCGGCCATCGATTCACTTGGTTTGGCCTGAAGTAACACAAGACACGCATTGTCTTAGATCGGCATAGCTGCAAGTCACACTGGGTTCCAATCCAGTCATATGGCTACTGCTTATGCTGTTGGGGCAACAGGCGTGTCAGCACATTTGACCTGCACTACTCGATGCTGAAATCCCGTATCGGTTGACTCAACGACCAGCGCGCTAAGACTGTAACCATATAGACACGCGGAATCCAGTCCGATTGAATGGCTGCCCAGCTGCAGACCACGTTTCGCATCGTGCCCAAATATCACAGTAGTTCGGGTAGTCAGTTGGTCCTGCCACTGATCCCAGTGAGTAGCCCAGCCTTCCTCTCCCGATGCCTCCGCCGGCACGAAGGTGCCTTCATCGCCTGGCGGGTGAGTGACGCTGCGCATGTGCATTACAGCATGGGGATCCTGCTTTTCCAGCGGGACACCAGGGGTGAGACCAGCATGTACGACAATAAGAGTTTCATTTAGGGATGATGCTGGGTGGTACGGTAGCTTGATGCGCAAGATCAATGGCAGAGCAGCGAGCCAGTCGAGCTGGGGCGCCGAAAGTGCGCGGGCTGTGCTGTACGTTGTTTCGCTGTGTCGTGTGTGAAGACTACCTTCGAGAGGTGCGCCTTTTTCAGGGCCGTCGGATGCGAGAGTCTCACTAGGTGAATCAACTCCCGAGTTCCCAGGTAACTGTGCGGTACCGCTGGATACGCTTCCAGCATGCATTGAGCTGTCTCCTCTTGCGTTAACTTCCACGGCAGCATCGAGGACGGCATTGTCATGGTTGCCTCTCACGGCGGTGGCGCCCAACTCCATGACCAGATCGATCACACCAGGGCTGTCCGGCCCTTTGTTGATCAGATCACCAACTAGTACCAGATGATCCCCTTTGTCCTTATCGAAGCTGACCTTTTCTAGAAGTGCCTCCAGAGATCTTTTCATGCCGTGTACATCACCCACGATGACTAATCGTCGAGTAGAAGATCCCTGGTCATTTTCCGCGGACGATACGAGTTGCGGAGTGAGACTGCTGGGCAGGTCTGATATAAACGTGGTGATGGGGAAAACCTTGTCGGCATCTGTTGCAGGAGTCATTGTTGTCCGTGTTGTCCGTGTTGTTCGTGTTGTCTGTGTTATTCCTCGTCCTCAGTGGCCAAAGGGAACAAAATGCACGTGGCTGTTGGAAACGGACGCACGTGATCGACGGACTGATCGGGTTAAGCGCATTCCCACCGTTCCAACATCGGCAACAGACGACCTCTCCATATCTCCCACGAGTATCAAGACGTCTGTCTTGCTTGGTTCCTTTTCTTTGGATATGACTGACATTCTATTACATATCATTCATAGATATAGGTACTCACACTGCGAGAAAGAGAGGATAGCTTGATAACAACTGTGCTAGGCGCGCTTTTCATTCGTGATATATAATGGAAAGACGGTATATCTGGGAGCTGTGAAGCGGTTCAGCCGACATGCTCGCCTTCAGCGCCAACCCTTAAATAAGTTCGAAAGCATTTTCAATGTGTCCAGCACTACACGTATGATATATATAAGGAGAAACAGAGCAGATGGGCCGATAGCAAGTGGTCTAAATCTCATCAACACCCAACGATTACCCAATGATTGATCACGCCGAGACCTGATACCGTGAGTTCATGCGGATCTTCTTGCCATAAAAGTAGAACACCACCGGCACCGGCAGCAAACACAAGGCGACAAACCCCAGTAAGGAGTTCCCCCATCCCAGCCCCAGCTTCGCATACATCGAGTGTCCGGCAAGCGGCAGGAAGGCTCCGACAATGGACCGTACGACCGTATTAGCCGCGATGGCGGAGGCAGCGTATTCGCCAAACGCGTCCACCAGATACGCTTGGATGGGAAGCAGGGTGGCGATCATCCCGCAGGCGACCCAGCTCAGTCCAATAATGGGCATGATCCAGTGGACATGCATCTGGGCGGACCAGCCGTACCAGAAGAGACCGATGGGTATCAGGAAGCTCCCTGGGATGAGCGGCGGGAGCCGGAATTCTGGCTCCGGTTGGCCATTGTTTCGGGCGATGAGGCGATTTTGGATCCGGTCGGAAAAGGCGCCGAAGCAGGAGATACCAATGAGGGCTCCGACACCAATGCCGATGTACACAAGTCCGGTGGCGCCCTGGCTGAAATGGTAGGTGGTTTCGTATACTTCCGTGACCGTGGTGAAGAGCAGGTAGAGGTAGCCGAAAACCACGCCTATGGGCATGCAACGGTTACGCTTCGTGCCGCGTCCGCGATCTGGAGCGACTCACCTGTGTATAGAGAGAACAAGGCAACATTTGGAGTAAGAAAGAGTAATTTAGTTGGTCTGGTTATTGCTTGGATGAAAACCTTCTTAGAGTCCAGCTTCAGGGCCCGTCCAGCGTTCTGCCCCCGATCCGGTTTCGTTTCGGACTCGATTCGCTTTTTGCCGCAGGAGAACCGGCTCGTAGGATTTGGATAGCACAAAGATAACCAGAATAACGGCGACTCCTGACTATATCGATGAACGAGTGAGTTTGGACCACGAGTGAACGGATCGAAGACGCCACTGACCACAATGGCTAACAACCAGAAGACCCATCGCCAGCCTTGTGCTTCGGAAAGGTAGCCACCTGCGATCGGCCCAATGACGGGGCCCAGGAGCGGGCCCAGCCCATAGATGGACATGGCGACTCCACGCTCCTCTCGAGCAAACATGTCCGCGACCGAGCCCGCGCCCAGGGTGACCGGACTGCTGCCGGAAATTCCAGCGAACAGGCGAAAGACGAGAAGCGCACCGACGTTCGGGGAGAGAGCGCCTGCGATATTCCAGACGGTAAAGATTAACGTGCCCACCTGGTAGACGCGCAGCCGACCATAGATTTCCGAGAGCGGCGCCAGAAACAGCGGTCCGACGGCGAAGCCGACGAGGTAGATGGAGACGACGAAGGAAGTTAGAGTCCGGTTGGTGGAACCGAATTCTTTCATTACGAGCCCCTGTGCTGGTGCGACGATGGACGAGGTCAAGGGTGTGAGAAAGGTGAGATATGAGATGATTCCCATATTCCACCATTTCTTGGTTCTCGACCAGTTCACCGGTCGCGCAGGATCAGCTGGCTCATCCCAGGCCACCTCCTGGGTCGAAGGATGGGATACCTTTTCTGCAGACTCGCCTCCCCATTCATGACCGCTGTGTGTTCTGCGAATCGCTGGCGGCTCTTCCTTGTCACCCATGTTCCTATCTATGACCTTGTGATGAGGGTGTTAGCGATTCTGATTGGTATGGAGGCACTTTAGAGAGGAAGATGGGTTGTGCTCACCGGGTCATACTGGTACAACAGGCTAACTTAGGAGCTGCCTTATTTCGCCCCGGTAGTGCGCGCCTTCCCCAGGGCCCCTTGCTTAGCCTGCTGGGATCACCACTGGCCAGCGAATGAAAGACATAGAAGAATAAGTAAGCAAAGAAAACAGAGCAAGCAAGACGGATAATATGATTTTACGAGGCACATGGCGCCACATTCCCCCGATTTGCTTGAAGTAGCCTGGACCCTCTGGAGTAAGCTTATTCGACTCTAGGCTGAGAACTAATACGAACAAACGAGAAAGTAGGCGTACCAATGAAGTAGCTCGGTGATTACCCAAGGGTTGGGTGATCATATAACGGGGCCGTTCCATAGGATAGAGGTGAAGACACTCTGACCGTTTGTGCAGATAAGCTTTTCTCCGTAGTCAGACTCTGTTGCTTTCTTGTTGTGGCTCTTGCAATTTTTCATAGCTGTTGCTACGGTCGTTCGATATATTACACAATCCTCTACTTTTCGATATCCTTGGTTACACTCAACCGACTCCCGAGAGGGTGCAGGAAGGGCATGGAATATCCCTGCAACGCGAGTGGATTGAAGGAGAACCCAACTCGCAAATCGCTGGGTCTCCATGATACGTACTGAAGATTTATAGCATGGGAATGCTTCAGGCATCGCATGGCGAGATCGTTAGGAACCCAAGCGCTCGTGGGCTGAACGTAGCCAGAATCAATGTATGCAGACGCAAGGTGATATTCGTGGCTGGCTCAATCAGACCTCACGAGGCAAGCATCAATGTCCTTGCATGTCAATTATTTTTGCTAAGACTTTCTCGCTCAGATGCAATGCTACCGGAAGGTGAGTATGACAGTGTGCAGGATCCGTACAGGCGTGCGAGACTGGCAAATGTGGCACCCGGCAATTCAGAAATGCAATCCTATCGACACGCACATGCCATATCCGGGCACGCGTACCGGCATGGCTTCACTAGATGGATGTCTGATTCCACTTATTGAAGGTTATTGCAGGCCCAGACGGTCATGACCAGTCATTTCGTGAGCCAGGGTTGAATCAACGCCCTGTTTCTCAGCTCGAATAACTGTTCGATACAGCTGACCAAGCACAAACCTTGAGCATCGAGATTTGCTCTGAGATCAAGAATGCATTGAAGCAAGGCAACCGCTTCATCGGTCGCAATATGATCTTCAGAGTTAGTGGTCAGCGTGTGGAGGCGCTGCCCTCGATTCCTAGGACATCGTGGGCGGGAAATCACGATGAAACAAAGACTGCGAGTCTACTTTTAAATCGGTGGATTTGCTCATTGGACTGTCTCCCCGTCATCCCTTGACTTTCCGTTCTGGTATTCTCGAAGATCGCTGCTAAGGTTGCTAGCTTCCTTGGCCATTCCAGTGTCGCCTGTCTTAGTCTGGCGAATGGCATAGTTGCCCATGACACCATCTCTCGCGATGTAATCAGCCTGGGTGGTGGCAGTTCGGGGACCTACGACGCGCTTCGTCTCGAAGACTAAGGCAAGACCGTCACTGTCGTTGAACGCAATGACTAGTTGGGCGGTCACGGCGAAACCTACTACACCGAAGATAATACGCCTCTGAATTACGATGTGGAGGGATTCTTCAACACGACTGAGACTCGGATCTACCTTGGACGGCTTCAAGTGCCCTATGGGCGCCGCAACCCTGCTCCTGCGCACGAAGATTACGTGACCTTGAACACAGGGCAAAAGACTGAATATCCTCCAGGCCAGCTCCAGGACCGGGAAGCATTCGCGAAATGGGTCGATGCTATCTCCCAGTTTGAGTTCTTGGATGAGGGCGTGTACCGAATCCCCGAACCGGTGCCAGAGGACCTCACTTGGGCGTCGGATTATTCGGCCTTGCTTAGGGGGTATACGGATGAGGTTCTCGATCAGATGGTGGCGTCTTAGTCGCTGTTCTGGGTGTGTGGACCCTTGATTTTGTGCACTTGTAGAATGGCGGCCGCACCCTGATAGTTGTCTAGAGCTTGTGGGTTCAGTCTTATGTATCTCGACCTACACATTAATGACCGATATTTGCTTCGCAGATTGCACGTGTAAAGTGTATCGATACCAGATAGTTACAACCGTTTTACATCCAAAGCTCCGTATGTACTTGAGGTTTAGAAAACCATTAAGATATCCCAACTCCTGACGTAGACGTGGTATCGGAGGCAGCAATTTCTATTGATAGTATCATGTACATGGTGCTACCACTTAGTGCATTCCGACATCTAATGAGATTGCATCACAATATCATTTCAATGAAATATTAATACTGAGCTACAACTGTTGAATTCAATCATTTAGGTAATAGGAATGCGAAACTTCATGCGGAACACATATTGAATTTCGGTGTAGAATGGGCAACTAGAAAGGGGGAAACTTTTGATGGGGAGTCAGCGTGGCAACAAGGGCTCTGATCGTTGCTAATACGGACATACGCGGACATTTCGCTGGGTTTCCAACCCTCATGTCCAGGATGGAATATTCGCCCGACCCGAACACGAGCGAGTGAAACGTGGAATGTATGCATGGAAACGAAGAGGGAAGCTGATCTCAAAGGGTCTGCCCCTCACGGCACATCGTCACCCCTTGCGCAGCAACTCCGCAAGCCTCGAAGGTGTGAAGGTACACACTCATGTAGGGTTTCTTTCCCTTATACGAGAACGAGATCCACGCTTGCAGATGATTTGCGGTATGCAGATCCACATCCGGACTGCCGGCGAAGATCAGCCCCACTCTATTCATTTCATTCGTGATATACAGGTCAAGACTTACTAGTACGATGCCAAATCGGACGGATAGCTTCCAGCCAAGCCACCCCACCCTCGACTCTCAAAGAAGGCGGCCAGTCCTTGTGCGATGGTTTGATCGTTCTGACCAAACGCAGGGAAATAGATCTGGGGCTCGGGAAGTGGGCTTTTCGGAGACAACGTGAAGTTGACAATGAAAGGAAGTTGTTCCTGCGGGGAGGTACCAGGCTCGTAAAAGCAGTCCGGGAGTGGACATAGACCCTCCGTGACGGGCAAAAGCTGCCACAGCTCTCGGAGGGCAGCCAGGCCTTCCAGAGTCTCTGGATCGTTCCGTCGCCCGTTCAGAGTCCAGATCCCTTCAATGGAAGCCAGGCTCAGCTGACGTTCCATACAGTAGACTTTGATCCGGGACTCAGATGGTTGCACTAAATCACAGGACAGAAAGTGGCCGAGGAGGGTGGGAGCCCGCTCAGCCAAAAACTGCTCGAGAGTGGCCAGTGGGCTGGCAATTTTACCACCCTGGTCCGCGGCCTTGATTGCGTCAAACATGAGCTTCTCTTTCGGGGTGCCGGTCGCGATAGCCTTGATCCGGGGGTATATGTAGGTCTTCAAGACAATATCGCCAGACGGCTCCAGATCGGCCGCCAACTTGTTTTGCGTCTTGAAGACGGGGACTGGGATGTTTCCATCACACAGAGTTTGAGCCTCCTTGTCGGAAACGACCAGTGATTTGGTAAAATGATCAAACCATTCCAGATCAAGGCCTGAAACCATGGCCTTGAGGTCCTGGAGAACAGGCCTGATGGCTCTGGTGTTGAACGGATCCTCCAGCGTGCCCGTTAGGGGACCGAGGGGCTCGAAGGCAAACCGCAGGAGCGATTTTGAATAATTGAAGCTTAACTCGAACGGAAGTCCGAAGCGCGTTAGATGACTCTTCCAGTGCATGGGTTGACCTTTCTCAGGATATGGACCCAACGCCGGGATGATGACCTCGCGGTGGATGCAGAGAAACTTGTACTGTGCGTGAACGTCATAGCTGGCCCCCGCCATCATGGCGGCAAACATTGGGGCAGTGCTATACCACCATTTCGCGTGGTCACTGTTCGAGAGGTTCAGGGCTTGGCTGAGTACGCGGAAGGGCTTTGGCAGCTGTATTGGTGATTTCCTGGAAATTTCCATTGTGCAGCGTTCTAGTTGCTGGTTTGCAGTATGGATTCAGAGTCAAACGGCGTGGTGAGCCGATGGAATACTCCCCTGCCTTTTCTGTTCCGGTCATAGTATGATATTCATGGTTCTCTAGGGGGGTGGGGGGCGGCATCACCCTCTCTGTGTGTTTGTGAAGGTGACTGCATGACGCAGGCTATACGAGCTGGTACTCGAGGAATGCAGTGCCAAGGTCCGACTGGCAGGCTGCTATAGCCATATTTCTCGTAAACCCACTGACACCTGCACTGAGGACCGCGGGCGATTCTCTTGGACCCTTGATACAAGTAAGGGGATTTTCTAATAACAGAAGCAAAACGTAGAGTTTATTATTATCTCATGCAGTATGTCAAGGTGCAGGTGAGAAACTTAGGGTAAGGTTTTCGCAATGCCAAGCAGTAAGATATTGATCGCCAAGACGTAGAATCATATCTACCGAGTGGCCATCTGCATGATGAAACATCCTGCAATGGTCGTTGTCCAACCGATTGAGACGAAATGGGAGATCGACATGCATGGCGATCGAACGGGCTGAGGCGAAGTTGACCCTCCTATGACTAAATAGGAAGTTGGTTCAGCTGAATGGCGGCCATAATACGAGCTTTCCCGTAAGCGATTGAAAATGCCACGCACCGTGGACAGTTAGGGTCAGTAGGCCGAGGGGATGCAATGGATCAGCCCGTCAAGTGCTGTTGCATTGGGCTGAATGTCGTGATGCTAGGATAAAGCTCGTAGGTTCCATGTAAGAAATTACTCACTCTTACTGTAGCCGTTCAGGCATTTCCGCTGCGAAACCCGCCGCCCCTATCTCTTTGCTGGAAAGCTTTCTTTTGTCAATGTTAGGCCTTATCTTGCTGCCATGAAAACGCCGATTGCTGTTGTTGGGACCGCGTGCCGATTCCCAGGCGATGTAACATCGCCTTCGCAACTGTGGGAGCTATTGTCGAACCCAAAGGATGTCCTGAAGGATGTAAATCCCAAGCGATTGAACCTCTCCAGCTTCCATCATCACAATGGCGAGCACCATGGGGCTACTGATGTCCCAAATAAATCCTACCTACTGGAGGACGATGTCTATTGCTTCGATGCTGCCTTCTTCAAGATCAGTGCGGCGGAGGCAGAGGCAATGGATCCGCAACAAAGGCTCCTACTCGAGACGACCTATGAAGCACTCGAAACTGCGGGATATACATTGAACCAGATGCGCGGCTCAGACACATCCGTCTTTATTGGCGCGATGACCTCTGACTATCATGACATTCAAGCTCGTGATTTGGACACAATCAGCCGATGGCATGCAACAGGCACATCTCCCAGCATTCTCTCAAATCGTGTCTCGTACTTCTTTGACCTGAGAGGGCCATCAATGACCCTCAACACGGCATGCTCCAGCTCATTGGTGGCATTGCACCAAGCGGTCGAGAGTCTGCGAAATGGCGATTGTACAACCGCTATTGTAGGCGGCGTCAATCTCTTGCTCGACCCTGAGGTCTATATTAGTCATTCCAATCTACATATGCTGTCCCCAACGTCGAGGTGTCGTATGTGGGATAGGGCTGCTGACGGCTACGCCCGAGGGGAGGGGTGCGCCTCAATCGTCATCAAGACCCTGGATCAGGCGCTGCAAGATGGCGACGATATAGAGTGCATCATTCGGGAGACTGCGGTCAACTCGGACGGCAGATCTGCGGGAATTACGATGCCCAATCCGGAGGCCCAGGCCACCTTAATACGCCAGACCTATGAACGCAGTGGTCTGGATCCGGTTCGGGATCGTTGTCAATATTTCGAATGCCATGGCACTGGTACCCAGGCTGGAGATCCCGTCGAGGCACAGGCAATCCAGCAGACATTCTACCCGAAGACCGTCGTTTTCAGTCCAAACGACAAGCTCTATGTGGGGAGTATCAAAACTCTTATCGGTCACCTGGAAGGCTGTGCAGGTCTCGCAGGCGTGATGAAGGCGATATTGTGCCTCAAGAACCGCACCATCACGCCAAACATGCTTTTTGACGATCTCAATCCTAAAATCACTCCATTCTACGACCACCTGGAAGTCCCAACAAGCACTGTACCATGGCCATCTGTAGCCCCTGGCTGTCCCTTGAGAGCGAGTGTGAACTCGTTTGGTTTCGGAGGGACCAATGCTCATGCAATCATTGAGAGCTACGTGCCCAGCCAGTTGAAAAGTCAAGTCAGTTACTGCAAAGAGCGGATGCTCAAGAAGCATGTACCCGCCGGGCCATTCGTGTTCTCAGCCCAGACTCAAGATTCTCTATATTCGCTCATTGAGCAAGTAGCCCAATATGTCAGACAGAATGAAGCATTGAATCTGAGTAATTTGGCCTGGACCTTGGCCAAAAGAACCGTCTTTCCCTTCAAGGTCTCGCTCACGGCGTTAGGCCGAGAGGAGCTTCTCGGTAGGACAGAAAATATCATCCAGCAGTACAAAGGCGGCAAACGGGGCGAACAAAGTCACTTGCCATGGAGACACTCACCCGAATCACAAAGGATTATGGCCATCTTCACAGGGCAGGGCGCACAATGGGCTGGAATGGGGCGTGAACTGTTACGTGCGTCTCCCATCTTCCGCCAGTCGATCGAGAAATGTGAGCGTGCTTTAGCAAATATTCCTGACGGCCCCTCCTGGTCCCTTCAGGACGAACTTCTGGCAGAAAAACCTCCGTCAAGCTTCTCTAATCCCGCAGTCAGTCAGCCGGTAACAACTGCAATTGAGATAGCCGTCTATGATCTCCTATGTGCATGTGGAATCCATGTCGATGTGGTTGTGGGCCACTCATCCGGAGAAATAGTGGCTGCGTATGCGCTCAATATCATTTCAGCAGAGGATTCCATGAAGATAGCCTATTATCGTGGAATGCACAGCAAGCCAGCGAAGTTAGGCGGCATGCTAGCTGTTGGACTTTCCTTTCCTGACGGCTGTGAATTGTGCTCTCAGCCGCCATTTTCGGGCAGGATCGTGGTGGCAGCGAGCAATGGGCCTGGGAGCACAACTTTATCCGGCGATTATGATGCGATACTCGAAGCCAAGGCACTCCTTGACCGTAAAAAGATATTTGCAAGAACATTGCATGTTGATGTTGCGTACCACTCACATCATATGGTGCCATGTGCTAGTGCATATCTTGAATCATTGAAGGCGTGTAATATCCAAGTGGGAACACCCAGGAGTGGCTGCACATGGGTATCAAGCGTCACTGGAAGCAGTGTAGTAACAAAAGACGATATTCAAGCGTTGTCCGCGACTTACTGGGTTGAGAACATGGTCAAACCTGTCCTCTTTTCGCAGGCAGTGGAGAGGTCACTGGGTAGCTGCCACAACATCGGTGTGTGTATCGAGATCGGTCCTCATCCAGCTCTCTGTGGTCCAGTGTTGGATACTTTGAAATCAAAAGGGAGTTCAGGCGCTCTTTACATTTCGATGCTTCACCGAGGACAAAATGATCTCAACGCTGCATCATTTGCGGTCGGTTCCCTTTGGGAACGTATGGCTGAACGTGTGGACATGGGGAGATTCCTCCAAAATCTTGGCAATCAACCCTTGCAACTAATAAAGGGATTACCAGCCTACAACTGGGACCATACGCGGAGATACTGGAGAGAATCTCGCGTATCGCGAAGATATCGTCTCGAAGGTATACAACTGCACCCGCTACTGGGCCGGCGGTCTGCCAGTGAATTCCCCAACGAAATGTCTTGGAGAAATATTCTGTATCTAAAGGAGATGCCATGGGCTCAGGGGCACAGGAAAAAGGGCCAGGGGGTACTTTCGACTGCCTTTTACCTTTCTTCTCTATTAGCAGCTGCTAGCTCTGCGGCTAAGTGCCAATGCCTTGTGTTAGTTGAGGTCAAGAATTTCGTTGCCATGGAAGATCTGACTTTGGAGGAGCATGGCGATGGCATAGAATATATCACGACACTACGAATCCGTGAAGAACATCCCGAGACACCGTCCAACGCCAGGCTCCATGCTGACGCTTCCTGTTATGCGAGCCTTAGCGGCGGATCAGTATTAACGAAGCTATGCACTGCATGTTTAACACTCTCTGTCAGCCAAGCCAACCATCATGATTGTGACCAGTTACCCCCAAGGGAACAGCGGAATCCCCTACTCGCGCCTGTAGATGTCGATGATCTCTACGAGTCATTTGAACAACTTGGCACTAGCTATTCCGGACCTTTTCGAAGCATGACCTCGATCCGCCGGTCTCTCGGCGAAGCCGCTGCTTCTGCGGTTTGGCCAGCCGATATAACCTTTTCGGGATCTGTACTTCACCCGGCTATACCAGAGGCATCGTTCCAGGCGATGACGTGCGCCTTTGCCTCGCCATTGAGCCAGGGATTGGGCACCTCGTTCCATGCAAAGGAGATTCGTCGAGCTCTCATTCAGCCTCACTTTGCTCTGAGGAGTTTGTCGTGCCAGATCGATGCTTTTGTGACTGCAGTGGACAGTCGAGGGGTAGAAGGCGATGTGTCGCTGTATGACCCGGATGGCAACACCATGGTGCAGATTGAGGGCTTGGTCATGGAATGTACCGATCTACCCCATGTTTCAACCGGCCATAACTTGTACTCGCACGTGGTGTGGGAGAGCGACCCTTTTGGATATTCGTTAATGTCCTCATATAATACACAAGATGAGGTGATGGCGTGGAGAGACGCAGCAGATATCGTCTCCTTGTATCATTTCCGAAAACTGCTAGATGAGATTGATCCACTCGAGTCTGTATGGTTTCTCCCTCACCACCAACTTTTGTATCGTGAGATTAGCCGCATTACGGATGATGGCAAGGGCTCTGAAGACTACCTTGTTCAGCCAGATGATGCCCAGATGTCGGAAGAGAGTATACTGGCAATGATCAAAGGATATGCGGGGGTTGTCAATCTTCAGTCACTGCATTCACTGGGTATGGCCTTACCAGCAATCCTGCGAGGGGAAAGTGACCCTGTTGGCATATTGAACGGTGGTAGCACCCTCGACAGCTTATCCCACGTTGCTGGGATGTTTTCTCCATGGATGAAAGACCTTTGTTGTATCGTTAAGTGTATTGTACATAAGCATCCCCACATGGATATCCTGGAGCTTGATGCTGGCACTGGTGCGATCACTCGGCAGATTTTAGAAGCTCTTGATGATAGGTATACTTCCTATTGCCTGAGCAGCGCAGCTCCAATACAGCTAAAACAGACGGTGGCCAGGCTCTCAGCACAGCATCGCAACCTACATTCTAAGGTCATTGATCTTAGCACGGGGAACGATGGTAAACATGACAGAGACAAGTATGACATGGTCATTGTTGCCAATCTTCTCCGAGCAACCGATGCATCTGCCAGTCTCTTGGAAGGTTGCCGCGCAATGCTAAAGCCCGGTGGTTACCTTGTATTCGGTAGACTGACCGGGCGAATGCCACTGTCGTTGTTGTGTGTCTGTGGGCTGTTTCCCCAGTGGTGGCAAGGATACGATCACGATGCCCAGACTTGGTCGAACATGTCAACTGTTGAATGTAACACGCAACTCCTCTCTAAAGGTTTCTCTGGCATCGATCACATCTTCCATGGCTCGATTCATCCATATGAGGATGGCCTTTCAGTCATTGTCACTCAGGCAGTGAACGATGCAGTCCTGACGCTTCGAGAGCCGATGAATTCGACCGGGCTGGCGCCACTGAGGGAGACTGTGGTCTTCGTTGGGGGCAAGACACTCTTAGTAGCACGCCTCCTGCAGAGTCTTCGGAGGATTGTCGCTGCATCAGGCACCGCAACAACAATAGTGGAAGACTTTGACCAGTTGGACCTCAATCTTCTCACTAAGAAACATGCCATTATCTCCCTGCTGGAGCTTGATGAGCCTTTCTTCGCCGAGGGAGACTTCCGCGAGAGGGTCCTCAGTTTCAAGGAGCTTGTGACAAGGTCAAAGCACGTCCTCTGGTTGACATCTTTAAAAATGCCAAGCATAAGTGTCGCCATTGGGAGAGCAATGAGATTGGAAAGGGGAAATGACATCAACCTTCAATTCCTACATCTGTCTACTACGGAGAACGTTTCGCCTTCCACTGTAGTTGAGGTTTTTCTGCGCCTCACATGGTCTAGTGTCCCCATGTTGACAGACAGGCAAATGCTTTGGACAAACGAACCTGAGCTACACTGGGATGGATACACACTGCGCATTCCGCGCCTGGTCTGGGACCAAAAACGAAATCAGAGGTACAGGTCCAGACACCAAGAACCTCGTCCAAAAGCGTGTCCCTCGCAGACATCGGTGATTCTCCCAAGAGAGTTGTTGGAAACCTCGGTAGCCGTTCAAGTCAAATATTCCTGCCTTGTATGTACGGATGCCTATCTTTGGTTTGGTACACGCCTCGATGGAAAGGAAAATGTAATCGGCATTTCTGATCAGATTTCATCTGTCGTCCAAGCAAGGCCTGAACACGTTCACCACCTTGTTGATGGAGATGACTTAAGCCCAGATACATTGCGAGCTACTGCTAGCTTCATCCTAGCACACCTGCTTTTGAAGTTTCTACATGGGCCAACTCTCCTGTATGAGCCTGATGATTTACTTGCTGCGGCTGTAGAGCAAGTGTGCGGGCCTGAGCACACCATCTATTGTATCACTTCGAAGTCGAATGATATCGCTCAAGGGTGGATAGCAGTCCACCCTCACGCATCGCGGCGAATGGTTGAGCGCGTGTTGCCGCCAGATGTTTCGACTTTTGTCGATTTTGCTTCTTTCGATAACCATGTAGTGGCCATGCTTCGCAGAATATATTCTCAAAAACAGATCCAGGTGGCGGAACTATATCATCGTGCGTTTCTTGCAAACCCTGGCCAACTTATCGTGGATACCTATGCTCAAGCATGTACCAGCTTGTCGACTCTTCACGGGTGGCCCTGGCAGTTACCTCTTCGACAAAAGTCTCACCAAATAATCCACTGGTCACGTATCCACAGGTAGTGGATTGGACAATCTCTCCTCCGACATCGAGCCAGGGTGGAAGCCCACAGACCGCAAACCTGTTCTCGCCAAGCGGAACCTACTGGATGATTGACATGACAACACCACTTGGATTATCAATTTTGACATGGATGGCGAGGAATGGGGCACGGACATTTGTTCTCTCGAGCAGAAATCCACGCGTGCACGAGGCTTGGGTAGAGGAACTGTCTCGTCTAGGAGCCACCGTAAAGCCCTTGAAGATGGATACTCTGAACAAAAAGTCCATTTTGTCAGCTTTCACCCACATAAAGGAAACTTTACCACCTATTGCAGGTGTCTGCTATGCTCCCTTGGCTTTATCCAACACAGGACTAGAGTATGCTGCTCATGATGAGGATGGTCTTGTCGCGAATGCTACGATTAATGCCGCAAGCTATCTCGATGAGCTATTCCCCACACGAACACTGAACTTCTTTGTGATTTTGACATCCCTTGTCTCTGTCCTCGGTACCCCAAAGCAGGTAGCATATCACGCCTCGTCACAGTTTATGACAGGTCTCATTCACCAGCGTAGGCGGAAAGGCCTGGTAGGGTCCGTGTTGGCCCTGGGTATGGTTGTCGATACTGGGTACTTTGCCGAGCAAGGCAGGGAGGTGGTCCAGCGCATGATGCACCACGGATACGCGCCTCTATCTGAGTCAGATCTACATCATGCTTTTGGTGAAGCGGTAACTGCTGGAGAACCTGAATCCGAAGGTAGTGCAGAGATATTCTTTGGTCTACAAATGATAGATTCCCAGGTTGATGAGACCGGAGAATTCCCATGTATCTCAAACCACCTGCTTTCTCACTTCACTACTAAACAATCTGAAGCCAAACCGAGGCAAGATACTGAACAGGTGGATTCGTCATCCCTCCCTCCTTCAAGCCAACAGTTGGAGGAATTGGAGCCAAGACGAAATGCATATGACATGTTGCTTGCGCGTTTATCGGGCAAGGTCAAGTCAATTCTTCGGCTTACCGATCAAACATTGGATCTGCACACCCCACTACTGGATCTAGGTTGTGATTCCCTTTTAGCAGTGGATCTTCAGGTCTTGTTTGCCAAAGAGCTCGATGTTGACATTACTCCCATGGATGTACTGCTGGACACTGTCGCAAAGCTATGCGAGAAAGCCTCCTTCCAGCCTGGCAGTCCAGGCCCAGTGTCGCAGGAGGAAGACTTACATGCCAAAGATGTTGATTGCATAGACCTGGTCACAACCGCATCAAGCTCGGAACACGGCACCTCAGTTCAAGACCTGCCACTTGACGCCAGTACTTCGGAGTCGTCTTGTGCCCTATGCCCTTCTGACTCCGGATTTGAACAGGAACGAGACGTCTCAGAACCAAGGTTCACACGGGTTGAGAGAATGTCTCCACACCAATCGCAGATCTGGTTCGCGGGCCACTGGATGAAGGACCCTACCCAGTACAACGTCGTTATTTCGTACAAAGTTCAGGGTAGTTTTATGGTCGACAAATTCAAACGAGCCTTGGAAGAGGCTATCTCCCGGCACGAGTCGTTGCGGACCGCCTTCTTTTCACATCCTAATAATGGTGACCTCGTTCAGGGTGTTCTGAAAACCTCACCACCATTCTTTGAACATATCACGGCTTCAAGCGCCGCCTCTGTGACACAGGAGTTTGACAGGCTCGCGTCGTACCAATGGCGGCTAGAACACGGTGAAGTCATCCGAGTTACGGTGGTGTCTATTGGACAGGACCAGCACACAGTCATATTTGCCTACCATCACATTGTTATGGACGGGGCTAGTTGGTCTACATTTCTGCATGATGTGAAGTGTTTTTATGAGCAGAGCCCACCAGATGAGGTTGCGCAATACGTGGACTATTCTCTAATGCTGAATCGTGACATCGATAATGGAGCTTTCGCAAAAGAGCTCGAGTATTGGAAGTCCGAGCTTTCACCACCGCCAGAAGTAATGCCTGTTCTCCCTCTCGCCAAGGAGAAGACCCGTACAGCAACAGATAATTTCAAGGTCCACACAGCGACGCGGTATGTTGGTGTTGAAGTCACAGACAGGATCAAGAAAGCCAGTCGCAGTCTTCGGGGCACACCCTTTCATTTCTACCTAGCAACGTTGCAGGCCCTCCTCGCCGAACTACTGAACATCGAAAATCTATGCATCGGAATGAGCGACGCAAATCGCAAACACCAGCAGTTCATCGGCACAGTCGGCTATTTTCTGAACATGTTGCCTCTGAGGTTTCACGTCCAACAATCGGACAGCTTTGCGAATATATTTCAAAAGACATCTTCGAAAGTCCTGACCGCCTTGTCGCACTCTTCAGTTCCCTCCAACCTGGTTGTGGATGCGCTGAATATCCCGCGCGTGTTGAATATAACACCTCTCTTCCAGGTTGCTATAAACTACCGCGTGGGGGAGATCACCAGGATGTCAGTGGACGACTTTGACCTCAATTATGATCGGAGCGTGATGGGCAATGCGCCGTACGATGTCTCCTTCCATGTCACTCCATGTGCGAACGGCACCTACATTGTGGAGGTGACCTGTCGGGACTATTTGTACTCGCCCACAGCCACAGAATCAATCATGGATGAATATATCAGGCTCCTTGATATTATGTCGTCCGACCCTTCGCTTTCCGTTCGGGGCAGTCTTGCCACGTTTTCCCCCATCAAGGAGGACGGCCTCTCGGTTCAACGTGGCCAGCGGGTGTCTCATGGCTGGCCATCGACGTTGGCAGAAAGGTTCCAGGATATCACTGATCAATATGGAGGTAAGATCGCCGTGACGGATCAAACTGGTGATTTCACCTATCGGCAACTGTTCGCGCAGAGCACTCGTATTGGGGAAGCTCTTCTCCAAAGAGGAATTCGATCTGGAGATACAATCGCAGTCTTGTGCCACCCATCTATGAATTCGGTGGCGAGCATGTTAGCAATTTTTCGCATCGGTGCGGTGTATGTGCCCCTCGACCTGAGCCTCCCTACTGCAAGACACAAAGCTATGGTCATGGCTTCCCCTGTTACGGCATTACTTTGTCTCTCTTCTACGTCTGAGAAAGCATCAGAATTAGGGATATCAACCATTATCAACATCTCCGATCTTCCAGACAGTCGAGCTCCGTCCATGAAGTTCACAAACGGTGCAAATGGTGATTGTTTCTCGATTTTGCTGTACACAAGCGGCTCGACAGGCCAGCCTAAAGGCGTCCGTCTGCCTGAGAGCGGTTTCATCAACTACCTCGCCGCCAAGAGAAAAGAGCTCGGTCTTGATAGCTCGACGGTCGTCCTACAACAGAGCTCACTGGGCTTCGATATGGGGCTTGCACAAACTTTCAATGCCATCATGAACGGAGGAAAGCTTGTCATTGTACCCCAAGACGTACGTGGGGATTCGATGGAAATTGCAAGAATTATTCATGACCACAAAGTAACGTTCACGCTAGCCACTCCGTCGGAATACCTCGTCATGCTTCAGAATGGTCGTGAATATCTCAATCATTACGCTGGATGGCGGCACGCCTGTCTCGGTGGTGAGCCTTTCACCAACCAACTCCAGCGAGAATTTGTGCGGCTGGGAAAGAATTGTCCCGTGGTACAGGACTCCTACGGTGTGACTGAGATTTCGGCATGTACAACCTTCGAGACGATGTCTGCCTCACAGCTGGAAGGCGCACGGAGCGTTGGAAGAACAATTCCAAACACTTCTCTGTACATCGTGGACGCGCAATGCAACCTTGTTCCCACTGGGGAGCCTGGGGAAATTTGTATCAGTGGCGCTGGTGTTGCACTGGGGTACCTAAATGAGAAGCAGACTCTGTTGAAATTCGTAGAGGACCCATTTGCTCTTCCAGAAGATGTGGCGAGAGGATGGACTCGAATGTACCGTACCGGCGACAAAGCCAAACTACTCGAGGATGGCTCTCTGGTCCTCTTGGGCCGAATGGATGGAAACACAGAGATCAAGCTTCGAGGACTTCGCATTGACCTCGAAGACGTCGCCTCCACTATGCTAAACTGCCACCCGAATCTGCTCTCATCAGCCATCGTGTGTGTCAAGGGCCAGGATGTTTCAGAAATCCTCGTCGCCTTTGTTTCCCTAATGCCTGGACAGACTGCCACTGAGGCTGAGCTACAGCATCTCGCCAGCGATCTCCCCTTGCCACAGTATATGCGCCCGTCTACGGTCATTTGCCTAGACGAACTACCTCGAAACTCAAATGGAAAGATTGACCGGAAAAGGATAGATAGCATGCCGTGGACGACACCAGCTACCGCGAGCCAACCATCTAAGCGGCTTACGTTGGGCGAGGGTGAGCTTAAACTTCTTTGGCAAGTTTTGCTGCCTGGTAAGCAGATCCAGCCCGAGTCTGACTTTTTTGTTCTCGGTGGAAATTCCACATTACTGGTCAGGTTACAAGGTGCAATTCGCACATCCATTGGGGTCTCACTGACTCTCCGCGAGCTGTATGGAGCCAGCACGCTGGCGCAGATGGCTCTCAAGGTGGATGCTCGGAAAGCCGAGGCACCATCAACATCGATCAATTGGCTCGCGGAAACATCTATACCGCAAAACCTCCTCGATTGTGCGACCGCAATGCCACAAGGTATCGTATCTAAGCGGTACAATGGATCGGGTTGTGAGATCCTCCTTACCGGTTCGACAAGCTTCCTTGGGAGAGTCCTGGTGCAGGCTCTCCTCCGGGTACCTGAAGTGGACAGAGTGCATTGTATTGCCGTAGAAAAGGAGCAAGACCACGTCCTTCCCACCAGTGACAAGGTGTTGGTTTATTATGGGTCCCTTCTTGATCCAACGCTCGGTCTTTCTACTACGGAATGGGCGTCCCTGCAGTGCTGTATCGACGTCGTGATCCACGGCGGCTCGAACGGCCACTGTCTTAACACCTATAACTCCTTGAAAGTGCCGAATTTAGGCTCAACCCATTGCCTCGCCCAATTTGCCCTTCAGTCACAAATCCCCTTGCACTATATCTCTTCCGGGAGGGTCATCCTCCAGTCTGGGAAGACTGCCCTCGGGCCTACATCAGTGTCTTTTCACCCTCCTCCGCTCGACGGGTCTGACGGTCTCACGGCAACCAAATGGGCAAGCGAGGTCTTCCTCGAGCGCGTCGCCGAACAAACTGGTTTAAGCGTTAGTATCCACCGTCCCTGCACACCGATCGGCGATCAAGCTCCAGCCCAGGACGCACTAAACTCTCTCCTGCGGTACTCTGTCAATCTCGGTGCCACACCCCGCCTTACCAGAATGGAAGGATACTTGGACTTTCAGAAGGTAGAGATCATTGCGGATGAGATCGCCACGCTAGTGATGTCTAGGTTCACCAAGCGTTCGAATGCACCATCGCCTACCACGTCCGGGGTGTGCTTCTTCCACCACTCAAGCAATGTCAAGGTTCCCGTGAAGAGCTTCAAAGAATATATGGAAAAGGTGCACGGTCGGCCATTCCAAGAACTTAGTCTGCAGGAATGGAGCTCTCTGGCATTGGACGGGGGCATTGAGCCACTAATTCCTAGCTTCTTGGAGGCCGTCGACGATAACGAGGAAACTCTGCGATATCCTTATTTGGGTCAATAATCATCAGCTATCAATCTTTAGAACAAGTATCTCGTGTAGGAATCAACTCTATAAAGTGTCAGATGCTATGGAACATTACTATTATACGTCCAATTAATGGCAGATTAATATGTTGGGGAAATACATGGCACGAAGTGGGCAGCAGTATCGTTAGAATGCTGGAAATGCTAAAAATAAGGGAGCCTTGCCTCACGCTTTAATCCACGAATGGTAGGGCTTTGAGCCACTCCCTACATTCTTCATCATCCCTGGCTTCGCGGTCTAAGAACCTTTTCACTCCCTCGTCTAGCTCTCTCCTCGATTTCTCGTAATCGACGTCGCTAACCCTACCATCCCAGTGTTTAAAACAGCCAGTGTCGCCAACGAATGCATCCATGAGTTCAACACCTTGGGCCCATAACTCGCCATCTTGTTGCTGCTGCTGGATCTGTTCGTCCGAGAACTGTAACGGGAACCGCATACTAGGAGAGCTGCCATCCTTCCCCCCACCCACAATGCTTGGCCATTCCTTCTCGACATCTCTCAACAAGCTGTTGAGGATCGGCTCGTAGTCCATCAAGACTAACCCCGGAACCACACTAACCTGGTGCCGGAGAGTATTCTGCTTCTGTATCGCTTGGAAGATTGTTTTGTTGACCTGAAGACACCGAACCAAGTAGAGATTGTGCAGTGTCTGTGCTCTATGAAGGGCCTTTGCCTTGCGCTGTTCCGCTGGACCCATGGAGTCAAAATTTGGTGGTAATGGGACCTTCCCTAAATCTTCAGGAACCGGGCCGTTGTAGTCGAGAAACACCGGGCACCCAACCTGCATAAAAAGCGGACATGCACTGACAGACTGCCAGTCAATAATTCCCACAATCCGGCTTGGGTCTTCAGGGTCGACAAATATATTCTGCGAATGAAGATCGCCATGCCATAAAACGGAGGCATGGGTGGCTTTATTTTCTGGGAGGACATAAGGTGCCACCTTAAGATAGTTTTCCAACGCGGAGAGCTTTTTGGAGAGGCTAGGCTGGTATTGCCGGGGTCCATAGAAAAGACCTTCAGGCATGAAGGGGTACTGGAGGCCTGCCTTTGCAGTTGCAATTTCCCTCTGCGCAATAGCCGTCATCGCTTGTGTGACAGTTGACCCTAAACATTGTGCATGGAGAAGCACAGAATACTGAAATTATACGAGTCGGTGATGGACTTACATGGGCCACGGTTAATATTCAACGCGCCTCTCCCGAAGTCAAAGAAAGAACGGTGGTTAAATCGGTCCCATGCCAAACATTTTGCTGCGCACTTCATTCCCAGTTGAATCAAAATAAAGAGGCGAAGTAGAATCTGAGTTGTCGGGAAGGTCGTCTTTATAGTACAAGGACCCGAACTTAGAGAATTTTGTAGCTGCCAGGCGCCGTTCAATATCAACAACTTGGTCCACAATTTGGACTTTCTGCTTTTCCTTGATGATGTCCCATACATCGGTTAGTACCACGCCGGCCTGTTTCTCCATGAGGATATACTCTGCTCCGAGGGGGTTCTCTGATGCTCGAGAACTCCATGCGTACACTCTTGGAACAGGAAGGTTTAGAACATTTCTTAACTACTATGGTTAGTACCGACGGCCAAAAAGAGATCGCGATTCGCAGTACAAAAGAAAGCAGGCCATACAAAGTCCATGGTTGCAACCTCACTAGCTGTCGTGAAATGTGGTCTGCCTGCATTGGGATTTGGAAGTTTCGCAATAACCACGCGACCATCGTCCACGGTCAGCTGGAAAACTTTGTCATATTGGCCCTCCGAGATCTTCAACACTTGGGTGCATGATCTCGATCCGATCGCAGAGGTCGCTAGTTGCAGAAGCGTTGAAAGGTCAAATTTAACATAGCGACTGGCAAGTTGCTGTCGCTCGTTCCAAAGCCAACGACCTGAGGTGAACCGATTGAGTGCTTCAAGATCATGTTGTGGACCTGTGATGCCCTGGGTCTCATTGATTTTGAACCTGCTGGAAGAAAAAGAGGGCGCCGAGAGTCTATCCTGGGGGCTACCACGGCGGAAAAAAGTGGCTCTGTTAGGTCTTCTCAGGAAGTGGCCACGGAGGGCCTTCATATCTAGCGATTGAGAAAGGTGGGAAGATCTGTCATTTCGTAGTCATTCAGCAGCAGCGCATCGAGACTCGTGAAAGAAGGATTGAAGTTGCGGCCTTTGGTGGCAGTCAGAGCCGTCTAAAACTAACCGCGCTAGCCCTTGTTCGCGATCCAGCGCCTGCAGTCTTGGCAGACAGAGAAAGCCAACAACTCCCAGGTTATGAAATTGCTAACGACTTGATTGACGACCTTGAGGATAACCGCTGAGGATATGACATGTTCGCCATAGATGTGAGCTTATGTAGCCTGATGTTAGCTGTAGTGTGAGTTTCATCTGCCAGATAAGAGGTTTTGTATTGTTGTGTATCCAAGATATATATCTTCACGGATTGTGGTGTATGTAATGCACTTTATTGCTTGAGTAGTTATCTGAAATGCGTACTGCTTTTTCTGTTATCTTTGATCCTACACGTTGTAGATATTTTCCTTTACTATTCTATATGATTGTATATTTTCCATTCATTGTCTATCCTTGTACTGTTTACCCACTATGAACAAGATAATGGTGGTCTGTGGACGAGCTGCCAAGAACGGCGTGAAGTGACGCTGTTTCTGGCCGCTAAATTGCCAGGCCTCCCACCACTCACATAGACTCTTTCGTCCACGCACTCGCCCAGTCGTGATTTCCAACTACGTTATCCACCACCCTCAGTTTCCCAAGAGCGCTAAACTAACTTCCTCTTGAACTCTAAGATAGATAGAGACTCACCATACAGGACTCCTGCTTTCCCTTTCTTACCGGAGTACTGCTATGTCAACAAGCGGCAAGCCGTTGTGGGGCACGCTCTGAAGTTTCTGTCCCAGCTGCGAACTTCATAAAACTTCATATTCATTCATTCAGTGTCAACGTGTACCCAACGTAAAATATAAGAGCATAGATGCGGATATATTGTTGATGGATGTACAGTCAAAGCAGTGAGTGTACATAAAATACCTAATACAGACCAATTAATAGACGTAAATAGCAAATACAAGGTGCATCCTATTGGTACGAGGATATAGAGCAATCTATAAAAGACAGATGCTGGGATGCATATGAGTCTATTAGCTGCGCCAACTTCGAAGAGTGTCCAGTCTAGATCATATAAAACCCCTTTTGTTCGCTTGTGATTTGACTAGCGAGGAAAATAGAGTAGCTTTTAACCAACCCTGGACCACCGTCCACCGAATCCAACCGTTCACCATCACCATCACCAAAACCTCGACCGAATTAATACTTTCCTTTCTCACCATCCGTCCACTTCAAGAGCCTCAACCAGACAAAGGCAGCCACTCCCGCTGTAACCATAACCGCGCTGAAGAGCTCCGCCTTCCAAAACACCCCCTTCTCCACATCCAGCAGCGCCCCGGCAATGGGATTGCCAATCAACAGTCCCAATCCTGCAAACGTAAAGCACATCCCCATTCTGGTGCCGACAATATTCATATTCGGACTCAACCGCGCCACAATCGTCGGGGGCAACGAGACAATCGCCCCAGAGAAGAACCCATACAGACACGCAAACACGATCGTTCCCGCAAGGTTCTTGATGCCGATCCAGGCGTACGCGAGGACCGCCGCACCCAGACCCATGGGGATGATGGTGTTAAGGGAGCCAAGCCGGTCTGCTACCAGCCCGGGGGTAATACGACCGAACACGGACGTGGCGTTGAGGATGGCGATGATGTAGAAGGCCAGGTCATCGGTGGAGTGGACGACGCTGGACATGTAGGTGGGGAGGTAGAAGAACGGGAAATAGAGGCCAACGAAGGCGCAGAACAGACCAAAGCTGAAGATCAGGAAGGGGGCTTCCTTGAAGGCCGACAGATCCAGGAGGGAGCGGGTTTGCTTGGGAGGGGGCAGTCGCAAGCGCATTACCGCGAGGGAGATGCACAACCCACCGAGGGCGATGAAGCCGATGATACGGGTGGTCCAGCCGAAGCCGAGGGGGCCAAGGAGCTTGTGGAAGATGATGGGGTATATCACGGATCCTAGTACCTGTGTCAGGACGTTACGTTCAGGGAGGGAGGAGGGCGAGAACATACCAATGCTACCTCCGGACGCCGTGATGCCTGTCGCCACGGCCCGCCGCGTGGTAAAGTAAGTGGCCACAATGGCGATACTCGGCAGGAAGAGAAAGGCACAGCCGACGCCGACCGCAATTCCATGGGCCAAAAAGATTTGGTAGTACTTGGTCGACAGGGAGGTCATCATCAGACCGAAAACGACCAGAAAGGAGCCCACAGCGATCATGGTTTTGAGGTACCCCTTGTCGAAAACGGGACCCGCAACGACTCCAACCAGGAACAAGAGGAAGCCCTGGACCGTGCCAATCCAGGAGATGGACGAGGGAGAATGACCCTGCAACAGATCCGTTTCATAGTAGGTCTGGTACACGCCAAAGGTGTTCACGACGCCCCTAGAAGATCGGTTATTGAGCACGAAAATCAACCAGGGATATTGCCATGTCTTACCAGGAGTTGAAGAAGAGGAAAAAGGCTCCGACCACTTGGAGCCATGCCACCAGCCCTCCATTGGGAGGCGGAGGAGGCGCTGGTGTCTCCTGCACCGGTATGGCTTTCTCATTTTCGACCTCAACAGGGAGGGTGGAGGGAGGAGACGACGACCCTCCACTATGATTGTCCGGAGTAACAGTCATGATGAGGTGGGAAATTGATCATTAACTGAGCAAGAGAATGGCACGACTACCCGAATTTTCATCGACTCATTTTTTTTTTCGACGAGACAACCTTAGCAGCCCTCTATATGCTTCAGCAGCGAAGAACCCCGGCAGATACACCGACCGAGGTGATTAATAATTCAATGGTGCGATCTGCCGGTGCATGGGCGCTACTCCGGAATGATGCGATAATACTCGTGTATTATTATAGATATTCTATTTATTTCCATGCAGGCATGCAGCTCGTATTACCCTAGATCCCTGCGTGAGATTGGGCTCCTTGGCGACGCCTTCACTCGTGTTCGGCCCGCTAGATCAGCCTAGATGCAACCCAAGCAAGATCCGGCCAAGTCGGCGCCACCCGACCCGGCCGCCAGGGTAAATATCCTGCGCAATCCTTCGCTCGTTGGCTGTTCAATCATGCTCTCTGGTGGCTGCACAGGCGCCTTGATCAGTCCATCAACACACCGCGTAGGGAGAATCCTTCAGGTATCTTCCCAATGGGGTTGGCCGTGCATTTCTGTGACTGTACCCTTGACATAATCCTGAGACGGAAATGATAAACACTGCAGAATCCAGATCTTACACGCCAAGGCTCAGCCACGACCAGCCTTGATCGAGTATGCTGATCCTTGAGTTTACCAGGAATGTGCGACACATCGACCGGCGGGGGAAGATCTGTGCTGGAGCGGTCCAGCCCTGTATCGTTTCCCTGTGGGGCGTGGCCCATACCAAGTGTCCTTGATGGATGCGCCGTGCGGTTATCTCGCTTGAGAGGCCACACGCACGTGTTGGTGTGTATGGAGGTGGGAATCAGCTCCCTCGCTGGCCCTGAGGATCGGAAATTAAACCGCTAAGGACCTCGATATTTGGTCGTATACAAAGACTGGAGTGGACCAAAAACGGGGCTAGGAATCCAAACAAGTGGGTCTCCTGCTGCAAAGGCTTGTTAGGGCTTAGCAACGGGTACGGGAGCGAGGTCCTCCGCGCCGATCAAACAAGGCAGGCCGACTCTACTGGGCGGGTATGCGACTATGGATTCACAGTGGAGTAGAATCCGCTCAACAGCTAGTGCAACAAGAAGGTTGCGAATAAAAAACCATATGCTATGAATATTTGCATAACGTGCATTGATCTAGCTTCCACAATTCAACGATTGGACATGTTTCGCACCGACTACTGCTCAAATACGAAGATTTTCTTCTGTTCGCCTACATCCCCCCTCTCATGACGCTCGAGTGCCTCCTGCAACTTACGTTCCAGACCCTCGTCTCCGCGCTTCCACCGAACATACTCCAGGGCCGGAGCCTTCAGCGTTCCGTCCTTGAACAATCGCGAAAACCATTCCATGAGCGCCGTCTGTTGGGATGACGAGCGTCGGCTCAGGCAATCGCTCAACCGAAATGCCTTGAGAGTGATGTTGCGCTGCCACAAGAACTGTCGCAGGCTGCCATCTGTGCCCGACGGCGCTACTCCCAGGAAGCCAGCAGTGACTAGGGTAGCCCCAGGCGCCAGAACAGATACCATCGACCGTGCCAGTGCATCGTCGGACACAAAGTCGATGGCGAGATTAATCCGCTTGCCGGCAAGCAGCTCCGGGCCGGTGGCTCTAAGCTCGTCAACGGTCAAGACAATAGATGCGCCATGCGACCGCAGCGACCGTTTCGTGCGCTCGAGCTCATCCTCTGTGCTGCGACCGCGAATCACGCTGATGATGTTGGCCCCCTGCAGTTGCGCTAGTTGACTCACGAAATGGGTCACCGTGCCTGTGGCCGCGTTCTGAATGATCCAGTCACCGGGCTCGATGGTGGCATAATCCCGCAGCAAGAAGTAGGCAGGTGCGACGCCCATGCGTAGGATGCAGGCGAGTCGGGGATCCACCATTGAGGGAACGCGCAGCACGTCGTTCTCGTCTAGCACGGCGTGCGTTCGCCAGGACCCTTGGCAGTGGGTCCGAATGATGACCGTATCCCCGATGCGCACCTGGCTCACTGCAGACCCCGTCTGGACGACACGGGCCGCGCCATCTGAACCGGGAATAGGCCTTTGCTCGCCGTTGGCGAGGGCAACATTGTTTTGTGGCTTCACGGGGTACTTGCCGTGCAGCACAAGAAAATCCAAAGGATTGATGGGGGCCGCCAGCAACTCCACGATCACTTGGCTAGGGCCGCAGTCCGTAGGCGTGGGAATCGAGTGAAGACGGATCTCTTTCAGGGGTTCCGTTGAACCGTGTGCAAAGACGAGAGATTCTGCCATGATGATGTAACGTGAATAAAGGATAAAACTTGGCCCTTGAAGTTGATTGGCTGTGAAAGAGAAGTCGATGGTGTTGCTAGCCGATGTCAAGTGCTGTAGAAGGCCATTTATAGCCAATTTCGACGCACAGATCCTGTCAGAACCATGGTCCTCAAAGCCTGGAATTGGGAGACACTCGTAAAATATCTCCGACTCACTAGCAGAAATAGTATCAGAATCCTCCGCTTTAGCGTTGCGCCACCTCTTCACCAAGAGAAACCAAGCATATTCCTCCTCTGCGAGCTCAGATCCCGTCTTAGGGCGAGCTTGGCCTAACCTTGCATAAATCGTATTGATCTCGCATTATCCTTACTGTTTCTAGTTTAGCGAACGGCAATGGGCAGAGGCCAAACCCCGTTGCACATGGTTGCAAGACGTTCGCTTGGTGGCGCATTCGTGTCTGCAGGCACCGCAGATCGAATACGAGGATACACTGCAAGCCACCACATGCACGTAAGACGATGGCTCACAGCGCAATACTATACTATGCCACATGGGTGGAAACGTGACAATGCACCCCTTGCGCAATTTCTGCAGGCTGACTTTATCCCTTTATCCGCGGCCGGATAGACCCTGGAACTTTCATGACTCCGTTCCGGCTCGCAACTTCCCAGGCCTGAGTTATTATGGCAAGTGATGACTATTCCCTGATAGGCCATGTGTCACTCAATCCATCAAGGATTGGCATCCTGAAGAGTCGCATGGTACCTGTGAGATATCGTCATCGGCACTCTGTCGGTTCTCGGAGGCATTTTGGAATCCGACAAGTATGCAATTTTATACGAGGATGAACAATGCAATGCCATTGACCTGCTCAGATGTAACTAAAACTCCTGTGAGTTTCTCGTATTCCTTCCTCGTGCTTTAGGCAGAGACGGTGGAATGCCGAACAGCGACAACCCCTGTCAGCATATGCAGACATCACGTTCTGGGTCGATCCAAACATCTAGTGTTTAATGTGATTGAGGAGTAGACGTGCGTATACTCGTTTACAATTGATCACTAGCAAGGCAAGTTCTAGCTGAGGGTGGAGTCTCCTGCGCTCCTCGCGCTGATTGCCGCACAGACGAGGAATGGCGAGTTCCATGATCGAAGGGCGAAGACACGGAATTGTCCGTATTCTAGGAACCGGTCAGCAGGAAGAAGGCTCGCTGTAGGCATCAATTTTGGATTCGGCCCCGAAGATGCTGTTACTACCGGAGATGGCGTTTGACGAAGTTCGAATTGGGATTTTCATGGAGCCTTCTTGGAAACTAGACATAAATAGCTTCGTACAACCCTTCAAAACATCATAGAAATCAAGAAAAGACCAGATGAAGAAGTCTACCTAGAGGGTATCATCCATACAATCCTTTTTCCTCTCCAGGTGATATTGCCACGGCATCAAAATGGCTCCTGTCGCTCTTCGAGACGTCGTGGAAAGCCCTGAACTACAGGGCTCTCCGGTTGTATCGACCAAAGCTCGGTCATTCCCTCTTCGCACCCCCCCATCCCCTCCTTGCCTCGTTACCGATTATATCAGATACCAAGTCGAGTCGAATCCTGATGCTCCTGCGGTTCAATGCGAGCGAGAGCAACCTTACAGTTATGGCCAACTTTGGCAGCTCGTCGCCCACATTGCAGCAGTGGCTCAATTCCACCCAGGTCGTATAATACCCCTGTGTATGGACCTATCAGTCGAGTTTGTGGCTACCGTGTTGGCCATCCTCTGGTCGGGAGCTGCCTATGTCATTCTTGACCCGGAAGGTTCTGCGCAACGGAACCGCGTCATTACAACGGATTGCGGCACTGAGGCTGTCGTTGTCCATGAAAAGTATGCTTCCCTGTTTGATAACAGCATCACCATCGAGAGCATCCGGTCGAGTAAACAGACCCATGTGCCACTTGACCTTCCTTCGATTGGTCCATCCGATCTGGCATACCTGATCTATACCTCAGGCTCAACCGGTATCCCCAAGGGCGTCCTTCTTAGCATCGTGCTGTCTCCCATGGCATCGACCAATTCCAGCTCAATGGTCGCAATCGATGGTTGCTCTTCTACAACCCTATCTTCTCCGCAGCTCGAAGAACAATTCTTGCTACCCTGTCTAAGGGCGCCTGTCTTTGCCTCGCCAGAAGGGATCGACTCGCGACTGCTTTGCCCGAAGTATTGACGAACCTTCAGATCGACGCGCTGGGTATTACCCCCTCCGCCCTCTCGTTGTTGTCTCCAGAAGAGACACCCAACTCCTTGCAGCAGATCACCACCGTTGGCGAGCCCCTCAGCCAGGCCCTTGTTGACACCTGGGCGAACAAAGTACACCTGCGGGTGTCATATGGACTGAGCGAATGTGCTCAATTGAACTTCTCCCGTCAACTGAAGACAGGTGATAACCCCCGCAACCCTGGTCTCCCAACCGACACCACCAGAGCCATTGTCCTGGAGCCTGGCACCCTCAAGCCTCTCCCAGTCAACGAACCGGGCGAGCTCTGCCTATATGGTCCTCAGATTGCCAATGGTTACCACCGACGTCACACAGAAACCCAAGCTGCCTTTGTCAAGGCACCAGAGGGCGAGCCCGGCACGATGATGTTTCGCACGGGCGATTTGGCCGCCAAGCGTGCGGATGGAACTTTTGAAATCCTGGGTCGTATTGATCATCAGGTTAAAATCCATGGCCAGAGAGTGGAGCCTGAGGAAGTGGCTGCCAAACTGGCCTCGGTAACGGGGGTGGCCGGCTTGGTCTGTGTGGGTTGCTACATCAACGACCGCATGTCGCTTGTGGCCGCTGTTATCCCTTCGCCCGAGTCGGACTGGGGTAGGCTCGTGCAGGATCTGCGCAACTATGCCCGCCAGTCCTTCCCACCGTATATGGTTCCTAGCTATTGGCTGTCGTGCAGTGAATTGCCCGTCAACCAAAACGGAAAAGTGGATTTCCGGGCCATTCGTCAACTTGCTGAACGCACAGAGGTTAGCCAGATGCTGGGCCACGGCACTTCACCAGAAAGTGGTGCGGCGACCCGCTTGAGCGACCTTGCGTCGGAGATTGCAGAGGTTTGGGCGGAAGTGCTGAATATGCCCGCATCCTCCATCATACCCACTGATTCCCTAGTGGCATTGGGAGGAACTTCCATTGATGCAATTCGCGCGATTCGAGAGCTAAAGCAACGCGGGATTCATGTCGAGTTGGCGGATATGCTTCAAGCACAGACAGTCGAGGAAACTGCTGATGCTGCCCAGGTAGACTCGACGCTGACTCGAGTTAGCAATGAGCCGTCCGAGGCTTTTGCATACATCTCCGATCCAGTGCTCAAGGGAAGCCTCCTTGCTGACCGCCACGTTGTCGATGCCTATCCTGTCACGGCGCTGCAAGAAGGCATCCTGGCCAGCACACTCCAGGGGAACGACGACTATCTCTACCAACGCATCTTTGATATTCGCCATCTCGACCCTGTAAGGCTACAGCTGGCATTCCAAGTCATCTTCTGGCGCACTGGACTATTGAAATCAACCTTCGTGACCGCAGCCAAGAGCTTCGTTCAGGTCTTCCGCAATGACTTCAACCTACCGTGGTCGGAAGTCTCCATGAGTCTGGCAGATTATCTCGAGCAGGACAAACAAAGAGGCATCACACTAGGAGAGCCATTCATGCGTGTCGCTGTCCTAGATGGAAGCATTCTCGTCGTCTCGGTTCATCATGTACTTTTCGACTTCTGGTCACACAGGTTCCTTTTCGATGATGTCGCTAGTGTGTACTACGGCCGTCGTCCTGAGAAGCGCCCAGAGTGGAAGTCGTTCGTTGCGCTTCTGCACGCACGAGACACGAAGCCATCTCAGGAGTTCTGGAGAGAACACCTCAGCGAGGCAGTCCCAACAATTCTCAATTATGCTCCTGTGGAGACAACATCCTCGGCCAGGCGCATTGTTAGCCAGGAGGTCAGGGCTGCATCATCAGCTTTGCGTGCGCCTCTGAGTGCAATCATCCATGCAGCTTGGGCTCTCGTTCTCTCGTCCCACATCGCTTCAAAGTCCGTCACAATGGCAACTGCTGTTTCCGGTCGCGAGTTACCTGTTCCCGGTGTTGAGGCCCTGAATGGGCCCACGCTGCTGTTATTCCCTACGCCGTCGCAATTGATCCGGAGCTGACACTTCAGCAGCTGGTGCAGTCTGTCAACACCAGTCTCTGGAAGGCCATCAAACACTCCCAGTTTGGAGTCCGTAATGCCCTGTCCGCTGCCGAGCGCCAGAACACTAGTCTCTTTGACACCATGGTTAATATCCTCGCCAGCGAGACGGCTAATAATGATATTTCCAAGGAGGTGTTCCAGCTCCATGGCCCGCGGCCAGTATGGAGAACGGAGTACACAACACTGAATGTTGAGGAGGGTGTTGGAGGTCTCAACGTTACGCTCACCTCGCCAATGGACGTGCGTCGTTTGGAATTTATCCTCGATCAGTTTTGCATGGCGTTGGAGGCCATTGCATCCAATCCTCGACAGACCGTCAAGGCAACAAACCTGGTAAGCGAGACAGAGCTACAACTCATGCTTCAGTCACATAACGACTTGCCTGATGCGAACCTCACGTTGCATGGCCAATTCGAAGGCACGGCCCGTCGCTACTCTGATCGGGTCGCGATCAACTACCAGAACGAGCTGCTCCTTACATACAATGAGTTGAATACTCAGGCAAATCGCATGGCGAACTATCTTTCCGAGCGCGGGGTAATGCCGGGTGACATTGTACCTCTTCTCTTGGAGAAATCGCCACTGATGATCAGGACTATTCTCGCGTTGTTCAAGCTCGGCGCTGCTTATGTGCCTTTGAGCCCTGAGAATCCTTTGGAAAGGAACGCGTACATCGCTCGGGACGTCAGCGCCAAGTTCGTCCTCACGGAGAAGGAATTTGAGTCGTACTTTGCCTCGGAAAGTGACATTCCTTGCATCCTCTTGGATCAGGCCAGACTTCGCGCCTATTGCCCCGAGCCACAGCAAATCATTGTCTCTCCGGATTCCCTCGCCTACCTACTCTATACCTCAGGAAGTACCGGTCTTCCAAAGGGTGTCATGGTCACACATGGTGCCTGTGCAGCTGCCATGCAGTCGATCATCGAATTTGAGCATCGACAGGGTCAGGAATCAAGGATGCTGCAGTTCTCCAACTACGTCTTTGACGTCTCGCTGTATGACTTTTTTGTAGCACTGCACAGCGGTGGGACTCTGTGCATTGCACCCTCAGACCGCCTGTTGAACGACCTGGCCGAGGTTATCAACGAGATGAACGTGAACCATGTTTTCCTGACTCCTACGGTGGCTCGTCTGCTGAATCCTAGCGATGTCCCGACCTTGGAATCCATGACTGTTGGTGGTGAGCAGCTGACCCGTGACGTGGTGACAACATGGGCTTCACGCGTGAAACTTCGCAATGGCTATGGGCCCACTGAGGCCTCCGTCTTGGTGACCATGAAGGACGTCGATATGGACACAATCGGAGGTAATATTGGCAAGCCCCTCGCGTCCGTGGGTTCCATCATCCTGGAAGCAGATGGAGTTCGCCCACTTCCTTATGGTGCTGTCGGAGAGCTCTGCTTCTTTGGACCTCAGCTTGCGCAAGGGTATTTCAAGAAACCCGATATTACCAGTGCCGCCTTTATTGAGAGTGAAATGCTCAACGGGCAATGCTTATACCGAAGCGGTGACTTGGCCAGGTATCTTCCCGATGGAGATATTGAGTGTCTGGGGCGCAAAGATGACCAGGTCAAAATTAACGGACATCGGATCGAGCTGGGAGAGATCGAACAGGCATTCTTAAGAACTGGCGAAGTCAAGGACTGTGTGTTGGTTGTCTGGAAGCAGAACAGCACCGCTCATCTTGTCGCGATTACCGTTTTCGATGGTGCAGTGGCTGAGAAACCGGGCGAGATCCTTCCCCTGGAAGGCTATGTTGTGAATGTGCAACGTGTCCGAGCTAAGCTCACTGGGCTGACTCCATACATGATTCCAAAAGCAATTCTCCCTCTATCGTCGCTACCAAGACTGCCCTCCGGCAAGGCCAACCGCAAGCAGCTCAAGGCGATGCTGCAGTCGCTGAGCCAGGGTGAACTGACCAAATTCTCCTTTGACAAGGTCGGCAATTCGCAGTCAAAGGGTGCTGTTATCCCTCTAGTATCTGAGACACAAAAGTTACTGCAACAAGCATGGATCGATACCCTGCAGCTTTCTGATGACCAATTCGGTTTGGAAGCCGACTTCCTTAGCCTCGGCGGAGATTCCATTGCCGCCATCAATCTCGTTAGCTACCTCAGGCGCAAGCAGCTCAAGATCTCTGTGCGAGATGTGCTCAAATACCCTGCTCTTGGGGCCATGGCCGACCAACTAAAGGGCGAGTCGGATGATGTACAGCAAATCAAACAGCAGACTTTCGTTTCCCCATCGGAGGTTGATGCTGCCATATCTGCTACTGGTCTGCAGCCGACTGAATATGAGTACATCTATCCTTGCCCACCAGGACAGGCCGAGTTCCTGACCCAAGGTGCACATCCTGAGGCGTTGTGGAGTCTGATGGCAGTCCGAAAGGTCGGCACCGACTTTGACTCAATACAGTGGATTGATCTGGTTCAGCAGCTGACAACGACGAATGACATTCTGCGCACAACCTTTACTCGCTGTCACGGAAAGTGGTATGGTGTCGTGCTCCGCGATGCAACCCCCGTGGTCGAAATCTATGAAAATGTCAGCGACGTGGAGCAGAGAAACCAAATCATTCAATCTCTTGACCATCACCGCTTTGTGTTTGGCCAGCCCTTCATTCGCTACGCCATTCTGCATCTGTCGACGGGTGAGACCGAAATCGTCACGAAGCTTGATCATGGCCTTTACGACGGAACTCTTCTCCGCATCTTTGGTGAGCACTTTGAGGCTTATCAGCGTGATGCTGCGTTGGAACGCTTCACTTCATTCAAAGAATTTGCATTCCACATTTGGCAGATGGACAAGTCTCGCACGCTATCGTTCTGGAAGGAGTCCACGAAACGCCCCATTGCCTTCGAGTTTCCCAGCGGCAGTGCTAACGAGCCACGCATCAACTCCGTCCATGTACATACCATCAAGCTTGAATTTGATACATTCGCCAAGGCTACCGGTGCCACTGTCTCCATCATCTTCCAGTCTATCTTCCAGCTCTGGCTGGCGCTGCGCAGCAACCAACGCGACGTGGCCTTCGATTACCTGTACACAGGTCGCAACATTGATCTCGCTGACCCTCAAACCATCAACGGGACGTGTGCGAACTTCCTTCCCATGCGGTCGGCAGTTGATGCGTCAATGCCCGTGTCCGAATTCCTTCGTCAGACCCAGGATGAATTCTGGCAGTACACCGAGAATAGCACAGTGGGCATGGACGAGATTCACGAAGCCTGTGAGACTACACGCGAAGGGTTCTCAAACAAGACCCTCTTCCTCTTCCAGCCATTTGAACCAGTCATCGCGACCGAGAAGCAGTACCAGAAATGGATTGTTATGGCCAAGTCGCAGGTGACAATGCCGCAGCCATACGCGGTAGTATTTGAGGTTGTCAAAACCGCCGATATGAATGAGTATAAGCTCAAGTTTGCCTTTGACAAGCGTATCTATGCGAAGGAACAAGTACAAAATGAGGCCCAAGTGATTGAGAAGATGTTGGCGAAGGTGATGGAGGATGCAGAGGCGTCTGTGGGTGATGTTTTGGCATCCTTGCGATCTTGACCTGTGTACATGATTATCTGGAAAATAACAGTCAATTCGTTCCTGTTTCCTGGCATAGCGTACCTGAAATTCCCCTGGTACTTTTAACCTTGTAGATGCCACCAGTAAGAGGAAATTGCCGATATAGATCTATGAAGATCGTGCAACAGAAACAACATGATAGGTGCAGCAGTCTCGGCTCCAAGGTCACTGGACCCACCCCCATGCCCACGCGGAGTTGGTCGGAGTTCTTCTCGTCCAGGTTCCGACCGTCGGGTGTTATTGGGCGCGCCGTTCTCTGCAAACCACGCAAACCCCTTCCCGGTGGAATTGGTCGGTGGTTTCCTCTGCCGACTGCCGACCTCCGATCTTCCGCCCCACAATTTCTCCCATCACAATCTATACGATAGCCTCTACGATCTGTTCCATATAGGAGTCGCTAGGAGGTAACCCAGCAAAGAATATCGGACAATGCGGAACATGCTCTCTTCAGTGTGCGATGGACTCTCCATTGTGGATGGTGAATATCTTGGCTTCTCACCTCCGTACCTCCGAAAACACGGTCTCATTGTGGCAGTGTCGAAGCTGGCCCTGGAATTGGATACATTGGCTTATGTGGGTATTTCTAACGAAGCTGCCTATATCCGTATATATCTCTCTCATTATCTGGCTACCGCAAGAATCAATCTGCCGCCTTGCTTGTCCAGCGAATCTTCACTCGGCGGTCATAGCCTTTTCTCCTTTATTTTTGCTATAAGCAGCCGATGTGACCAGTGATTTACCACGGCCAGCACTCTAGCTGCCACTTCTTTCCCACTGAAAGATGCGATTCTTGATATGCCTGAGCAGAGCCATTCTTGGTATTCTTTACACTGCTCAATTCATAAACGCCCTCCAAATACTCGAGTCCACTGCCCTCATTCCATGCTCTGATGATAGCGTTATCAACACCGACTTGTTTAGGATGGCGTTGACACCCGAGAACAGCAGTCTTATGATCGAGTATGACGGCGAGTTCACCTTCTCGGGGATGATCATGTTGGATGTGGACGTGCTAGCCTATGGGTACAGCTTCCTGACCATGCGGCTAGATCTATGCGACTATGATTTGTCCGGATTCTGTCCCATGATACCGCAAAACCTGACCGTGCCGTATGCAAGTTTGACTCTGTCAGATGATATTATCTCAGAAATTCCCGGTAAGTTTGAACTCCTTCGGATTGATCAGTGAACTTCTACTTAGTATTTTGCTCCCTGGTTATATGTATCCATTGACAACAGTCCTTTTGATAGGTATCGCCTATACTATTCCTGATCTGGATGCCGTTGTTCGAGTCAACATGATATCTAACTCGACAAATCGAAGTGTCACTTGTATTGAGGCAAGTGTGATCAACAGTAGTACAGTCTACCAAGCCGCGGTTGGCTGGACACTTGCCGTTTTCATCGGACTCGGCCTCTTCGGGAGCATAATCCTCTCGGCTCTCGGCTATCTCAGCATCTCAAACCAGATTTCATTCCGCACGGCTCTCCTGCTGAACTTCATGCAAGGTCAAGCCATGGTGGGCCTCACTGTGATGGAGTTCAAGCCAATGATACAAAACTGGACCCAGAACTTTCAATGGACCATGAGCATAGTACATGCAGACTTTCTGGATACTATCACGACTTGGTTCCAGCGGTCAACAGGAGGAACACCTTCAACTTTATATTCCGAAGCTAGCACTATTTCAATCGGCCTCCTCAAACGTTCCGACGAAGTACTGATAGGGGGAAGCGTGCCAGCATCAGGTGATGGAACGGAAGTCCTCCTCCATGGCATCATTCGCATGGGATACCGTGCAGGCCTTGAGTCCACCAACATCTTTATGACCGGACATCTGGTCTTTCAGTTTATTGCGATGGTCATGCTCCTAGCTATCATCGCCCTCAAGTTCGGTCTATCCGTAGTTCTGAAAAAGACCCAGTGCACAAAGTCCGGCTATTCCTTAGCTACCCTGGCTGACTGGCAGTACTTCATTCGAGGCAGTCTTTGCCAAATCGCGTGTCTTGGCTACCCGCAAATATGTGTGTTTACCATGTGGGAACTGTGGCAGCAGGTCTCGGCGGCCGAAGTCCTGCTTGCTATTACGCTATGGCTCGCCACGACTGATTCTTGGTCATGCAACGTTTAGGGTCCTCCAACATGCACGCACAGCGAGAAGGTCAAATGAACCTCTGACGTGCTCGCTTCATTTTGATTCACTCTGCCTGGCCAAATGGGGCCATCTGTATGCCCATTACAGGGCCCATGCATTCTACTTCATCATCCCGCTACTACTCTACACAGTATTGAAAGGGATGACTATCGCGTTCGCCCAATAGAACCCTATAGCGCAGGTTATAGTTCTTCTTATTTTGGAGCTGGACTTTTGATTTGTACCGCAACTGTCCGGCCGTATATGGGGAAAAAGGCCAATGCATTTGCCACCGCTGCCGCCGCCATTAATCTTGTCAATGCCATCTTCTGCTTGGTCTTTACTAATATCTTTGATCAGCCGGATCTCATGACTGGCATTGTGGCCCTCCTCTTCTTCTTCCTCGACGCGATATTTACCCTCGTGCTCGTCGTCTTCTTGCTCATTGGCATTGTCTACGCCTGTCAGCTTAAGGAACCAACTGTAGCAGCCCGGCGTTTCTATCACAACCGCGTGTCCTTGCAGTCTACCAGGTGGTTGCTTCGAAAGGAAAATAGACAGGCGATTGAGCTAGTCCCTCTCCCAGAAGCGACCACGTCTAGAAAATACGACTACCAGCGACGTACAAGTTCGTCTTCATGTCAGCCAAAATTGTGAAATCGAGTATAGGGCACTCTCAGAGGTATGGGTAATGGCATTTAGGCTTAGGTTTGGGTGGGATTCAAGATCTTGGGCTACAGAGTCGGGACCTCCCGCCCGCCACGCACGCTGGGTGAGCCAATCCCAGCCTATGAAGTATCAACTGGGAGTCTGGGACAGATTAGAGAGTCTCGGCTCTTTCCCATGTGGAACCTGAAGCTCGTTCCCATCATCTAGCCAGAACCATTAAGGTCCAAGCCTTAGGGAAAACTCGCCCTGCCGTCAACCCTGTTGCACTCCCTGACACATTTATTAGGGCCAAGTACATCTTGTTCTTTTTCCGTTCAGAGTCAAGTAACGTATAACTTCCCAGAATTTTTATCGTACCAGCTTACTGCAATCCGACCAACTCTTCGGCTTCCCGGTATATATCTAGTGGGAATTAGCCCAACTTGAAACAGAGTAGTATCTACGTGCCTCGGAGAACACCAGGATCGCCTCTTCTGGCAGAGATCATGTCATTCATTGGTTGCACGTTAACTTTAAGATATAATGAGATATTTTATACTGTAAGAAACGGAAGACATCTCGACACGACCAGGTCCCCACATTGCAGGCATTGGGATCCCGACAGCAAAATTGAAACGGGTGTAATGGCGATCCACTGCTCACTGCTTTGCAATTACCAGACTCTTGACTCGGTCTGTCCGTGAATCGTCCGGCTTCGCATCCTTGTCCTGCGGCGGAACTTCGGTGATGGAAATATTGGCCTTGCCCTTGAGTCCATTTAACGTGCCAGCGAATGTAACTGATAGCTCACCGACAGGCTTAGTCTTGTCAATTGCGCTCACCTGGAAAAGCATTATGTGGTTTTCAGAGGACGGAGAGACCGACGCCTTGACGGAGAATCGGTTGGTATCAGACACAACGCACTGGATGCTTTTCGGGCCATTTGCATCTTTGGTGTCTGGGCGGCTAAAGAGGTCACTTTCCGTATTGCCCACGGGGACCTCGATGTGGAAGCTTTCCACTCGGAAGTCCTTGCCGCTTTCGTCTTTGATTTCGATCTTCAGCGACCAGGAGCCCGCGGTGGGAGCAGTGTTGGGGGCCTTGTAGTTGAGTATCGGTTTGGGCCGCAGAGAAAGTTCCTTGACGAAGCCTGGGGTGACGTCGTTGATATAGGTCACCGTAGGGTCCGGCGGAGGCGTGTGTCCGACGCCCATTCTGCGAAGCTCATCAGTACCTGCGGGCTATGACGATAGGGGCAGTTGGGCTCTTTTCATACTCTATAAACATGATGATAATCCCGACGATCGCCAAGACGGCGCCAATGAGAGGGAGGACGACGCTCTCGATGCCGATGATGGCGTACCCAATCTCTAGAACCTCGACTGTGACCTGCGCTGCGACAGTCGACAGGTTGATGATGTCTAAGATGATTACTCCGACGTTTTCGTACCCCCACTCCTTTTCGATCTGGAATCCCAGCCCGACCACGACGGCCACGTTGCTAAGCGCGACGACTGATTTTAACATCACGGAACCTACCTTGGACGCCTTGGCCCAACGGGTCAATTTTTCCTCTGCCTGCGCGGCGGAGGTGACCTCCCCAACCTGGGCTTCGAGTGAAGGCTCAACGGCCTGACTATTGACCGCTGCCAGTCCCTCATGATTTAGCACTGGGGTGTCCACTCCGTCGATTGGCACAGTGACTCGGCCCTGTGAACCACCCACGCTCTGGTTCCATCGCCCAAGAAGATATCTGACCTTCGAACTGTTCCACGCGTTTTCCCCCAACTGCTTGATGATCGGTGCCATGTCGCCTATCAAGCGGAAGGTGGATTCCACCACCTGCAGCGTAGCCTTGGCTCGGTCGATATCAGAGAGATGGTCCCAACCGGCCATATATTTGATCGCGGTTGCAAGCTGATATGCTTGTGTCCTGACTGGTTATTAGCCACAGACCTCTGGGCCGTAGTGCTCAATGAAGTTGTAGAGGACGGCAGTAACACATCACAACCTACATGATAGCTCCAACCTTGACCAACACACCATATGTTTTCTTAAACTTTTCCCTTGTTTTAGGGCTCAACCACTTTTCTGCCTTGTCACGCATTTTCTCGGCGATCTTTGCGAATGGCTTCAAGTTCTTCTTCCCGAGGTAGTCCTTTCCTTCCCGTACCAGCTCCATGAACATCCGTCCAAGCTCAGTCTGATTCCCAAACAGCTCATTCGCTATTTCTCGCTCCACTTTGGTATTGTACGTTTTTTGTAGCGTCTCAATATCGAGGCTGAGATCTTCGAGTAAAGCCTGACTAATACTGGGATCCTTCGTTTTGATCTTGATGATCAGCTGCTCCATGAAGTCAACGGCAAACTTCGAGAACCCGTCCGGGTCAACCGGGGCGCCTTCGTAGGAGAGGATCAGAATCGATTTGTCCAGGATGAGCTTCCAGAGCTGCTCTGGGTAACCCCGGTTTTGCTTATCTAGCACGCTGAGGAGCATGCAAACACGGTTGACGAGGTCGTACCCAGTGCTATTTTCGTCGACCTGCGTCAGAATGTCTGGATTGGTACACATGGGTTAGGGAGAACCCTCATCCGGAGACTCACAGTTTCGCGAATGCCATTTGGCTGAGGTAGTCATCGGTGCTGACCGCTTCGTAGTACTTCTTCGCCCAATCCTCCGAGTCATTGATGTAGTCCTTGAGCCGGGGCACCTGGTCCAAGTACGCCGCCTTAACCGCCAGGCTGTTAACAGCACTAAACTCGGGTTTCCTTGAGATACAAGATTGGGCCTGCGCACTGTAATTAGCATGCATGATATATACCCCTGGGATGGAAATCTGATTGTAAAGCTAGGGGGATATACCTTCCCCTCCCAGAAATACTGCAGCTTTTCCTTCTGCTCACTGTTGAAGTTCCCTTCATATCGCGAGTCAGTGCTCAGGCTATATAGAAAGAGCGCTCGCGTGTAGACATTGCTGAGGAACTTTCGGTTGTTGTCATTCAACTGGTCCTTCAAGGAGATCGGTAGGATGCCCTCATTTGCCCCTTTAGAATCACCGAAAACTTCCTTTTCCTTTTTGCCCCTCCAATATCCCGCGGCTGCCATCACGTAGTTCTGAGTGACGCGATGGTTGTCGAAGTCGGTAGGAGTTTCTATAAGCTGTAGGTCCGGAATTGAGAGTGGTTTCCCCGACATCGCCGCGGTCAAGAGAGCTGCCTTTGGTGACGGGAGGGTATGGATATTAGCGGATATGGAATACAGGTCGGCATTAAGGCCATAGTCGAGGTGGGCGATTGGGGACGAGGCAATGGCCCTTGGGACCTCTTCCATCAGCTGTTGGTGTTTGTCCGAGCCCGATGCATGAAGTGCGTGGATATCCCCGTCTTCCCCAGTCTCCTCGACGAGTTCAGTGTAATGACCTCTGGCGACACCTCTGACCAAATTGACGATTAGCTTCAGCCCCTTGAAGAGCTGTGGCTTTTCCGTGCCCTTTGGCCATTCATCTAAAATATCAGCAAGCGAATCTTCTAACCCGTCAGAGATCCTGATGTCGATTATCAGCTCTCCGGGGTGCAAGGTGACCCTCGCTTCGTAGATCGGTTTGTCGTATTTCGGATCTACCTGTGGCAGACTCGCTTTGGCCTGGAAAAGGCCCTTGTTCGACTGGACCATCTCAATCTTGACGTCCCAGAAGGGAAGCCAGGCCTCGTCCTGTGAGGGACTGTATCCGTCTGCTTTCTCTGGATCCGGAAAGGTTTTCTTGGTACCGCTTGGGGAGTATAACAGCTGTACCGGTGCAGCAACGACGGGAACTGGGCTGGAGAGGTTTCCTCCCTCCTCAATCGCCACCGCACCAGTGGCCATGAGACTATCGGATGAGAATTGAAGGGACCCGTGCTCCCATACTCCGGGTGCCTTCTCCCTGCTCCAGTAGACGTGCTGATGGGTAACTTCCGCCCGGTGGACAAGCTGTGCATCCACCATGACCGCACCCTCCTTCAGCCAGACCTCAGGCAACCTTTCTGCTACAACCCCCACGACCGGCTGTAGCGCGAATGCCATCACTACCGAGTGGACGGACATTCGATTGCGCTGCATCCTTTTCTGCGAATGCTCTTGGATGGCCTGCAGATCCCCCGGTTGTGGGACCCGGTCAGGGGTAAAGGTGTTTTTGAATGAGGTGAACACCGAACCGAACACCCCCGATAGTGAATTGGGCATTGATTGAATCTGTGGGTCTCAGCAGTCAGATCTCATGCCTAGGGTACAATAGATAGGTAAGACTCACTGCTGCAATACTAGTCTTCTGCTCCCGGATGGGGAGGTTGGCAAATCGATCCTGGAATCGTTTCAGGGTGATTTCGGGATAGTTGGCCGCCACCAGGTACCCATTTGCGTGATAGCGAGCTCCCCCGTGGCTACCCTGGTGAAAGTGTAGCCCGTACACGACATTATCTGGGGTCTGGTCGACCGTGAACGATGTGATGCGAACCTTCGCGTACTTGGTCCCTGCACTTGCCTCGTCCAGTCGATACAGCTCGTCTCCGACACGCAGCTGGGAGACTATGACGTTTGGGTTCTCTTCCCGGGCAATTGCTGGCTGATGGCCTTGGGACCAGCTGTCGTAAAGAAGATATGGCCTGCGGTGACAAAGGGCTTCTCTCCGTTGAAACCGAAGACATATACAGGATCTCCATCTTCAGCAGTGTGATTCTCGACTCTCTCATCGGACAGCGTGCCTAAGTCATTGGCGTTAATCGGGCTGAGACGAGGTCCATTTCAACCAAATTAGCTTACCGTATTCACCTGGGGCCTTGGTAAGAACTTGGGCTCCCCTCTGGAGGGACTCAATATTGACATCTCCCACGATCGTCCGGACCTGTGTTCCCGCCACAAAGCAGCCGAAAAGCATCTGGGAAGCTGCGTCTCTTGCAGGGGTATAATTATTCGGCTCAAGACCAGTAAACAAATCCCGATATTCCGCACGTTTCCCCCGAATCCACTCCTG